ACACGTCAACACATACACACACATACACAATGGAAAACGCACACACGCAGCAGCCGTTCATGGCTGCTGCTTCTTCTTCGTTCTTCATTCAAACGACCAAACGACCCTACTGTCATCGTGCAGCTGTTGCTCCGTCCAGCCAGTCACACACAGTCCGTCGCATCATCGACCACCTTCGATGTTTCTTCGTCTCCGAGCAGCCATGAACGAGCTCGAGCTCAAGCTTTCATGGTTGCCGACTTCGATCATGGCTTCGTCCAAATGAGCATCGTCGTTGCCACCAGTTGAGCAACGTTGCTATTGCTGCTTCACCCACCTGCTGCTGCTCCGACGAACTACTGCTTCCATGTCGGACGATAGCATGAATTCATGCCGCTGCTACTATTTCGTGTTGCTGCTACAGTTGAGCAGCGGTGCTAACGGCTTAGTTGTTGCTGCTGCTTCGCCCTTCATCGTCGTCAGTTTGATTATAGCTCGAGCTCGAGCTCTCATGGCTGCTGCTCATCGTTCCTCAGTTTCAATCCGTCGAGGTCGTCTTTTGTCGTTTTGAGTTCGTCGAGTTTAAAAGGAAGGTGGGTTTAGTTGAAATCGAGATCCGTTAGGTCATTGGCAGACTTGGCTCATCATCGTCGTTCCAATCCGGTTAGTTGGTTTATGTTTCGTTTCTGTCCGTAATTTGTTTGATATTTTTCAGATTTGAAATCAAATATGTTTGATATTAACTTCATGATTCATCGTTTTTTTTTCTTCAGTTTATTTCATTCATTTTTCTTGTTTATTTTAGGTAGAAATTGATTAGTTAATTATAATGTTGCTAGATTTAAATTGAAGATTCATTTGATTATTTTTCAGTTTGTTTTATTAATTTAAAAGGATTTAATGTTAATATAAAAGAATGTTAGTTTAAATCGCTTGAATCCGTTGTTTGTTGTAGATTAAATTCGTGTTCATTTGGTTTAAAGTTCGTTTTTAATTCAGTGATTTAATGTGAAGTTATGTTTTGGTTTTTAATTTTTT